TACAAAAGGGATTTCACCAAAAGAAGTCTTTGAATGTTTGAGAAACGTGTATGGTGAAGGCTCTCCTTCCTATTACCAAGTAAAATTTTGGTGCAAACAGTTCAAGTGGGGGAGGGAATCTTTAGAGGATGACCTTTGATCAGGTCGCCCAGCAGATGCCACAAATGACGAAATGTGCAAGAAAGTCGAGTGTTTAGTGATGGAGAACCGGCATATGGTGTCGTCACTGTCAAGAGAGTGTGGAATCTCAGAAGAAAGAGTGCTGCATATTTTCCACGAAAATGAAAAAGGTCAGTTCAAGATGGGTTCCAAGAATGCTGACAACAAGTCAAAAACAGGACAGAAAAGACATTTGTACGGAGAATCTGCAGCACTTCAGCACCTCTTTTGAATGCTTTCTGGCCTGTGCAGTCACTGGGAACGAAACATGGGTACACACCACTGGGACCCAGAAACCAAACAGGAGTCAATGTAATGGAAACATCCTCACCCCCCACCTCCAAAAAAATTCCGAACCCAACCATCGGCTGGGAAAGTGATGGTGACAATCTTTTTGGACTCTGAAGGCATGTTGTTGCTCGAGTTCTTGCCTCACAAAAATACAATTACAGGAGAAACATACGCTGCAACTTTGAAGAAACTCTGAGAAGCTATTAAAGAAAAATGCAGTGGAAAGTTGTCAAAATGAGTTTTCCTGCATGACAACGCCCCAGTTCACAAGTCGCATAATACACAGGCTGTCTTGAGGGAATGTGGCTTTGAGGAAATCTCTCACCCACCCTACAGTCCAGACCTGGCTCCAAGTGATTATTATCTGTTCTGACGACTGAAGAAACATTTATGCGGTCGCTGGTTTAGCGGGGATGAAGAAGTGAAGGTTGCTGTGCGTGAGTGGTTGGAGAAGCAAGACTTAACTTTTTTCCACAGGAATATCTTCACTACTCAGCAAATGAGAAAAGTGTATTCAACTTAGGGGCAACTATATAGAAAAGCAATAAAAGATTCACCTCTCTATGTGAACTCATTCTGTCATGTAGATAACTTTTCAAGTGGCCCTTGTATCACAGAGATGCTTGAAGTACTGGCAAGAACAAGTACCACTTAGTACACAACTTGTAAAAAGTAGAACTCATAAATACTTGGGAAACTCAAATTTGTTTCCCAAACTCAATCATTGAATAGTGATTTTACAAATGAGCTATTCATGGGTACAAACCACACGACCTGTATTTGGGCATTTCATTGGGATGCAAATAAAATCAGGGATCACCAAATTTATTTTTTCAGTTTTTCTTGTGCTTCTTGAATTTTCTCCAATTCCTCCAAGTTTCCTATTAAGGAAGGAAATATACAGTGACAATAGTGGGATCTTCATTCCATCATAGAAGGTACACTTGTTTACAATTAGTGGTGCAGAAGGGAGGGAAGGGGATTTAAGTATCTGGTCCTCCCTCTCCCCAAAGTGCAAAACCCAAATGTTCAATATGTATCTTCCTTGTAAGTCATGGATCAAAATAGGTTTTTTTTTTTTTTTAGCTTCCTAAGTGGATTTGCCTTCAAACCCCACTAGGAGTGTGCCTCCCAGACTCTCTTTAAAAATGTTTCCTGTCTACGCCACTACATGAAACTTCTGATACCTGGAGACTACTGAATAGCTGTTGAGACACTGAAAGAGATCAAGTTGGCCTAGCAAACAACTGAACCTAAAATAATGTTCAAAAACCATTATTATTTTCAACATTAATAGCTAGGAACAGAATGAATACTAGGTGAATTTGGCCTCCATTCTCTTCTCATGACGGTATCTTATTGTGTGTACCATGTGAATATGTTCTACTGTAGGTCTTTTTGCACTGAATCCAATTTTTCCAGAAATCTTGGCTAATGTGAATCAATGGCTGGTAGATTCCAAATACAGTGAAATTTGACATCATGCAGCACAGAATAATGACATTGGGATTATTTGTTGATTCTAGAATCAAAAGGATAACAAATGTTTCATGAGTTGAGCAAATAGCCATTCCAAAATATGCAGCTTAGTAAGTATTCTACAGATATGAATGAATACAAAATTTTCCACAAATCACTCTCAAGCAATGGCTTTGATCAAATCAAGGAATAAAAATGTCTGCATCCTTGTCCAAGGACTTACATATCCTGGCATTTCTCATCCATTGGGTTTATAATAATAATAAAACTAAGACGTGCCATGAAGAAGGTGGTTTTTGCTCCTGGGCAAAAAGCTATGGGGTTGATAAGCTACTGAATTTCAGGAAATATATACTTTGGCTTGAGTACTCAAACACTGAATCCATAAGAGATTGCCCAGAATTATTTGTGTGGCAAAGAAAGTATGCCAGTAGGGTATAAATCCTGTCATAGAAGTCAGGCTAAGATCCGTAAATGAGTATCTCCACATAAAACCAGAACAACTGTTAGAAACTGTTCCTGTTAGGATATTTATCATTGATTTTTACCTCCAGGAACATTAAAAATCAGATTAGAGGGATCATTCACGACAAGAATATATGAAGTACAATTTATGCAATGTTAAAGTGGAATGAACATAGAAAAGAAACTCTTTTAAAAATAAATGCAGGTAATAAAATTGGCCATAGGATGCCAGGTGCCAGCTAATAGAACTTCAACTTACAACATTTAAAATACATGTCACTGTGGTTAAATGATCAAGGTATGTATCCCTCAGTATATGGAAACAGTGAACCCTTGGATTCCTAAAAAAATATGTGAGCAATCAAACAAGGAGGTTCTCTCAAAAATCATAACAATTTAATCAATGAGAGAATATATTTGTCAGTCATACCATGTAATCAACATCATAATTAGCATATCAATATAACCATGTGAAATAATAATTTTATGAAAGAAGTTGAAATCATAGGATTGAAGCTGCAAGATTGCTCAAATAAAGAAGAGCTATCGTACAATCTATCACAGCATGGAGCAACAATGTTTACTGGGTCACTTCAGACCAAGGTCTGCTGTCTTTCTCTCCCTTCAGAGTGAGGATAGCTGCAATGTACACAAGTAGAAGAATACATAACCCCATGATAACTGAATAATCTTGATCAATTGGAGCCAGACTCCCTCAACACATGTCCATTAGAATTAGTACGAAGGGTGTCAATTGAATCCCCCTCCCCCTAATTTTCTCCCACTTACTACTAACTTTTATGATTAGCTACAATTGAAAATCTAGCAACTGTCCTACATATGGAGGAATTGTCTGATCCATCCTATTACAAGCCTGTGAAAGCTCAACAGCTGCTGTTGTCATGAAACATGAAAATCATAGACATAAGCATAAAAAGAAATCTTAAAAATTAGTTCAAATTATCAGGGGCACTGGAAAGTAATGTCGTTTTTTCTACTAATCACAAACATTTATTTTTACAAGTAGTTTTTTTTATAGTTTCAATCAATTATGTAATCCCCATCATTATCAAGGACAGTTTCCCATCTCTTTTATCAAATTTTCAATTCCCTGTTTATAGAAGGAGGCTTGCTTTGAGGCAAAGAATTCAGAGAGAGCAGCTTTGATAACATCAATATTTCTGAAAGTCTTGTCACTAAGAAACTGCTACAGAGATCGGAATAAATGATAATCTGATGGGGCAATGTCGGGTGAGTGAGGCAGGACTTCCCAACCCAAATCTTTGATCTTCTGTTGGGTCATGTTTGCAGAATGTGGTCTTGCATTGTTGTGCTGCAGAATTACCCCTTTTCTGTTGACCAGTGCTGGACGTTTCTCAATCAGAGCCTGGTGCTAACAGTCCAATTGTTGACAATAGAGGTCTGCAGTAATGGTCTGACCTGTCTCCAATACCTTAAAGTGTATTATACCGACACTGTCCCACCAAACGCTCAACAGGACTTTCTGTGGGTGTAGGCTTGGTTTTGCTGTTGGAACCAGCTGCTGGCCAGGGGATAGCCACTGGCTCTTCCGCTTGGTGTTGACATAAAGAACCCATTCTCATCTCCAGTAACAATTCGATGAAGGAATGGTTCTCTTTCTTGTCTCGTCATCAATGAATTGCAAATTGTTGTGCACTGGGCTTTGTTTTCAGCTAAGAGTTGGTGGGGAACCCAAACGCCTTGTCTATTAACCTTCCTGATCTGTTGAAGGTGTTCTTGAACACTGGATCACGAAGAATTGAGTTTTTCTGCCAATTGTTGGATGGTTTGACAGGGGTCTGACTCAATCTCCGACCTAAGGAGATTGTTGTCCAGCTTCACCAATCGTCCCAAACGATGGTCATCCGAGAGGTCAAGATCGTCTGACCAGAATTTTCTGAACCAACGCTGGCATTTGCGGACATCCAATACATCTTCATAAACTTGGTGGCCTCCATTGCCTTACTTCCCTTACAAAACTCATATAGCATACAGTGTTGTATATGGATCTCTTCAGGAATGTGGTCAGACATTTTTGCTGACAATTTTGAAAAAAGTTTTGTCATCAAAATATGTATGGCAAAGAAGGGTTCTCTAAGCCTATAAATGAAATTCATTTAAAAGCAAAGGAAAACATGCCAAAAATAACGTTTACATTTGGGTTACAAAAAAACGACATTGCTTTCTGGTATCCCTTATAAAAATAGTAACATAACAGTCATGCATTCAAGATTGCAACCTTGAGCTTATGCAATTGACTGGGAGACCAAGAAAAGTTCCAGGTGCTTGAGGTGTGATCTCCTGCTTGGATCAGGAAGAATATTTGCATGGTGAAGTGGTTGATGATCACCAAACATCTTAGGCTGAATTTATAGGGCATTACCAGTGTGACAGAAATATTCTAAGCATTCAGTTCTTCCCTCAGACATCTGAATAAAAAGATGAACACTACCTAAGTCCCACACATGAAAGTTTATTAAACTTGAACACATGATGCTTTACCATAATTCTATTATTGCATTAGAGCTAGTGCCCATCATCATCATAACCATTAGAATTCCATAATAATATAAAATACATTTTCTTCATCTGCACTTACCATTCAGGTCTGAAAGAACTTTTTCTAGGTACTCAGGAGTGTTAAGATCATTTCTCAGGCCTGGGGTGATCTCCAACTGGAATCCAGGACCATACTCTGAAAAATACTGAAAATATAGCACAAATACAGTCCAATGTGAGAGCAAACTACAATCAGGAATGCTAGTGTGCATTATTTGGTTTTAGGAGTGAACTAAAGGATGCTCCTCCTCCTTACATATTGAATGTGCATTGAAAATTCTGATTCATAATGTGTCATATAATCCAATACCAACTTACAGACTTATGATAATGGCTTTCCTGTAACATCTCTTCACTTTTTCTCAAAACAGGCAGTTAGAGAATGGAATTAAAGATGAGATGAGACTGACCTCATGTTCAGGAATGTCTGAATGAAGGCTCAACCCCAAGATCACTGATGTCAGGTATGTCCAGCATCTTGCTGTGTTTGGTACATTGTATCCACCTGTACAGAATAGGAATAGCATAGACAAGACTTTGCTGAATCTGTCTAACAACCATAGTTCACCATATAGAGACAACTGCAGAATAAACTAAAATAACTTTGTCAGACTTTAGGAAAAAGCTCAAGACAGGAAGAAGGCAGAATAATTAATACTTTGGGGAAAGAATGCCTATGAGAAGCTTTATGGGATGACTCATTCACAGAGTGCAAAAAGACTTCAGCTCTTCTATACCTCCATGTGAAATGTAATTTCACTTCCACCTCACATCTTATCCCTGCCCTATGTTCTTCCTGCTTCCACTTGGTTTCTAGCACATTCTTTCCAGTGTAGAATACCACCCAGATATCTCAGCTATAGATTTCTCTTTCTCTCTGGGAATCTCATGGCCCACTTTGAGCTATACTCAGAAACTTATCACATAAAGAAAAATTATAGTTATACAGGGAGAGTGGTTATAGTAGCATAAAATTCAGTTAAATAAAAATCATGACATTCCATTTAAAATATTCCTATTTCAGGATTTGACAAACACAATTTCATATCAGTAAAAGGCAGATTGATGCTCTGAAAACCATACCACCACCAAGGATGAGAGTTGGGGAATTCCAGGAGAGGATGGTCTTGAGTGCTTCAGCAAGAGCAACTGGAGTGAGATTGGAGTCACCAAGAGGGTCCCCTGTGATACCATCTGCTCCACACTGCACCACCACAGCATCTGGTTTCCACACTTCCCATAGGCGTGGCACTATCCTGCAGTACAGATATAAGCTCTCTCAATTAGTCATTGCCTGATATGGACAACAAACTGAGCCAATTAATGTGTTTGTCATATCTTCCTATATTACCAAGGAACCCCAAAAATATAAATAAATAAAACTTAGTTGACATCATAGGCAAATTACTGGGTATGGAAAAAAAAAAACAAGACCAATGAATTTCAATGAATACATCTTTACTCCCACCGAAGCAGTTTTAATGAAACTCTCACTGTGCATAGATGGACATGTTTCTAACATATCTTCTAAACTTCTTCCAAATTCATTGCTCCAAGGCAAGGCTATGAGCAATGATTAGAAAAAGCTAAATAGTGAAAATGAACAAAAGCTCATGCTGGTAGCAGATTAGAGGACATGCCCATGTGCTCTTCTTGCATATCATCTGCAGGCCTTTTGTTGATAATTTGATCAGCTTTATTTTAATAATGACAGATGAATCAATATGTATCAAGTTTGCTCATGGTTTATTCAGGCTTTCCCTTAGTCTTAACTGAATAATGAGGAAGGAGGATGATGCACTCAGAAGAGATTTGGGTCCTATGCTCATTTTCAATTTTATTTCTTCTGCATAATAGCTCATTTTCATATATTGGCAATATCAATGCATGACCTTGCTTCAGGAACATAGATTTACATCATAATTTCACAATTTTGTAGGGAACATATTAATGTCTGCACAATGCAAGTTTTGTGACAGTAAATCCATTGAGAACCTGGATGATATGCAAAAGCAGTTATTTTTTTGCCATACCCTGCAAACAAGGATTCTTCTGGAAGGAATTAATATCCAAGATTAACTAAGAAAAAAAAATTGACCAGGATCCTCTCTTTCCCTCCTAAGCTCTCTTGGGGAAACTAAGATCATGTGCCCATGACATACTCTCATTTAAGACTACACAAATTCCTATCAACTCAGACCTTGCATCCCCCAGCTTTCTCTACAGCTGTAATTATGTTGCCTGTAGCTGTTGGGTTTTAATCTATCTCACAGGGTGGACTGACTTAAGGAAAACATGAAGAAAAGAGGAATCTCTGGCTCCAGTCCTGAGAGGGATGTTGAACACAGTGAATGCAGCACGACCTAAGCCCACCGATTCTGTGTCACCAGTGCCAGGGAAGAACCCTGGCTCTCTGCAGTGAATTGACACATTCAGGATCTTGTCAGAATAGTTGAAAGCCACTTCAACACCATCTCCTGCAGGCATGAAGATAGGTGATCATAATCACAATTAGTGTCAGGAGTGACACAATAATAAAATGAAATGGAACTCAAGAGCTTCAAGTTCACATCATAACTACTTCCAAGTACCGGAAGCAGAAGAGTGCTCCATTCCTCAACTCCATTAATAGTGACTCATTAGTGAACATCTTAAAAGCAGCTATTGATATCTCATCAGGCAAAGAAATACGGGGATCTCTCAGTACAGTCTAAGCATTTACTTGTAGACAGTGATGCTGACATGGATGGAGACATATGCTGCCAATGCAATACATCTTTGTATAAATGATAACTGTGCTCATGTTGGAACTTCACATGGTCCTGCCCTATATACCTTCCATGCCATCTTAACCCTTTAAGGAGTAAGTTGGGGAGCAAAGAAGGGGAAAATTAAATAATGAATAACATTTTACTTCCTTCATTTTAGGCTATGACAAATGATTTTTTAATTTAAAAAATTCACATTGAAATTTTTGCCTTGAAAGTCAATTATTTCAGTTTAGTACTTCACCAGGGTGTGACTAATGTGTGCACCCCATGAGCTAAAAAACTTAAATGTGTGCATGACCTCAAAATGGTCAACTCTTCATTTCCCAAACTGACTACATTCCTGTTTGATGATTAAAGATAAATCAAATTTCCTTGAGAACCTAAAGAGATAGCTTTGATATCATGCTTAGTTGCATGATACCAAAAAGTAAACAATCACTCTCTCATTAAGCAGTTGAAATAAAGGTAGAGGACAAGATTCCACAACAAATCTTTATATTTTCCCACCAAAAAGAAAAGCAACAATGACTTGATACTCTATTTCTGTAATCCCTCATTAATTTCTTTTTTCACTTCACCTTCAATTAAAAAAATTCCTAAGCATTCTCTACATTCACTTTACCATTCATCAGGCTCTGAAAACAATCTGCATGAAGTGACAAACCATGATGGGCATCAAGGTCAATGTACATGACACGATGGAAGACACATCTCAACTTCAGGATCCCAAGAACCACATCATTCACATAACAGAATCCAGCTGCCTCATCTCTGCAAAAAATAGCCGTATCTCATTTAGACCTCTAGTTAGGATAGAATGAATACAATGCAAGTTCTTCTAATCTCATTCCTCTATAATTTCTGAAAGGCAGGATGGTGAAGGATAGGATGATGAGTGAGAAATTTTTTTAGACAGACAGGCATGTGTAGGCCACAGAGGTAGGTCTATTGAAGTAATAAAAAAGTTCCTAACACACTGCCATGTGCATTAGAACTTCAATGTTTGAATGATAACAAAGAATAAACAATTGCAAAGTAATCTTTCAACACTCCCCTATCCATGTCATATCTTCATGGATGATGAAAAATTCATCTATTCTGACTAACAACTCTTAATTCATGAACCCCTTAAGATATCATAACAACACATTTGAAGCTGTAAGCAGTTCTCGCCTGAAGGCATGATGCCAGCCACCACACCAGTTGATAGCAATGGATGATTTCCCTTCAGTCAATGCACATGCTGCAGTCAACGTCCCACCAGCTACAAACTGGATTGTCTTCCATAGGTCATCCACAAGAGGACAGTCATATTCTATACATTCAAAGAGAAAGACAGAAGTAAACCAAATTTTAACATTAATTCTGTATTTGAACAGGCAAGAGATTTATGAGGTATCAAGAAAGCAAACCAAGACCAAATTCCGACATGGCAGATGACTCTTGGAGTTCCTCACTATCACCCATTTTCAAAGTTTCCACATATTCCAATGAATGGAAATTGAGAATGTCATCTTCAGTTGCAGCTTGGCATGGGATGATGTCCATGTGGTTCAGGAGACCATATGAAGCTATCAGAGAGTGTACCCTACTGGCCTGTGATAGACAATTTGTAACTGAAGAAAAAATAACAAGGCTGTGAATTTTCTAGCACTAATTGCTTCATCAAAGTTTTAATCATGATTAACCTAATATAAATAGCTTTCAAATTTTCTGTGTCCCTAAAGGATATGAAGGGAACATCTTGGCACCATCTTATTATTCAACTCAGTCTACCTGGAATCCTAATGTCAAAGACTTTGTATGCTTGTTTAAAAATAGCAATAGACTATTTGTTGGCTTCTTTCAAGGTCTAATCCAGCTGAGTGGGTAGAAGCTCATCAGCACCTGCATGTTCTTCATCTGGAGAGTGATTCACCTCTAACAACCCAAAGTCAATTTATTTATGAGTTATCACAGGAAGCCCTTCCATACCTGAGTGATGTGACGTATTAAAATGACAAAGAGATCAGATGCACCATTTTTGGTGAAGCCTGAATATCCTATGCCTGGTATATGAAAATCTACCCATACTTCACAAATGAAAGTCAGCTTTGAAACACACCTTACAAGCACTACTAATTATTCAAAGCAACAGTGGGAATCTGGCCAGATAAGATCACCTGGTCCTCTTTGGCTTTTTCCCTTCATCTGAAACTTCAACTATGTAACTCACACATTCTCTCAAGCCTCTTCCATTGAACCAAAAGGATGGATAATCATAAAAGAAGTCTATTACAAGCTGATGCATTTAACTAACACTGGTTAAAGTATACTCAAAGCCTCCCCCTAGATATTCAAGACAGCTGAAGGCATTAGAGAGCAGATAGGACAAACTCCATTGCCACAACTTATATGGCTGTGAACACTTAGCTAGTTGTGGCATGTTCACTGGGTGTTCCTGTCTCACTATCCCAAAAAAGACCTAGAATCTTTCCCGTTAATGCTACTCCCCATAGAACATGACAGAATTTCATCTATCACTGATATCTTCACCTATATGCCTTGAAGAACTACCAACTTTGCAGATGATGCACCTTACTAGGACCCAGTGGTTGAGAACCTCATACAGTGATCACCCATGACCTCCCAAACGATCTCCCTGAGCACTATGAATCATGCAAGTGGCTTTGCTGAGCCATAAAAAAAAAAATAGTGAACAATGAAGTAGATATTTTCCTTATACATAGTACACCACCTCTATTGCGGCAACTCGCAGGTGCAATTATTGACAATGGAATTGAGTAATGCATTTAAGATCATGATTGGCCCTAGGCCCATTAGCAAGATCCTGCCTTCTATGCATCCCAAACCAGACAAAGCAGGGGCAGCCTTAACAATAGCCTAAACTAGGCCTAATGCAGATGATCAATGCAACTTACCCTCCCGAGGACGGCCGGGTACTGATCACAGGCAGACAAGAAAACTTCATCATGAACGTACGACGTCCGTCGTTTCACACTTGCATCCATCAACCTCTGCTAACAGCTGTAACGGTAGGTCCAGCGGTTTTAGCTTTGGCAGGCCTGTCACAAGCTCTGGGAGTAGGCCAAGGCCTATGCCCAGACTTAGGCAATAGCCTGTCATAGGCTATTGGCTTCGGCCTAAGCCGAGGCCAAAGCTAAATGACACAGATCTAGACCTATGATAGATATGTCGCGTATGAATTATCACACACCACTACCGTTAATTTGTTGAGTTCCTCGTTTGCTCAAAATCTACTTGAGCCTTTCCTCACAGAACGACACCTCACATTGTATTCGCTCCAGCTCAAAGTTTGGTGTACAGAATGGCGCGTTCATGGAGGGCGCCATCCGCCTAGAGTCCACAACGGGAAAATTGTTAGGAAATCAGTCCTCATTGGAAGCAGCACTTGATAACCAACCGATATTAGGGTAGGCCTAACCCTCTTAAAGTTAAATATTTTTGTATTTTTGTATTTTTTTTTTTTACTATCCTAGTTGCTTACTGTTGCAGCCACTACTTCGTCATCTAACGCATTCCACGCGTTCACCACTCTGCAAGTAAAGAATTCCTGTCTCGACCTGAGCCGTACCTGCGGTTTGCGCAACTTAAGTCTTTTACCCCTCCGACCTCTCCGACAATTACCGTTGCGTTGCAATATGAGTGACTCCAAGAAAAGAGTTGACAGTGAATGTAGAATCTTCAATAAGGAGTGGACTACGAAGTATTTCTTCACGGACGTAGGTAAAAATGCTGTATGCTTGATTTGGCACGAGAGCGCGGCAGTTTTCAAGGAGTACAATGTGAGTCGCCACTCCATTCCAAGCATGCAATTATCTGTCAGCTTATGAAATGACTAAGAAAGCTCAGGAACTCTTGATGGAGTAACGAAAACAGCAGAACGTGTTCAGTAAACAAAATGCTCAACAAGAAGCTGCAACAAAGGCCAGCTTTGTGGTGGCACACAAAATGGAGAAACGCAATAAGTCATTTTCAGATTATGAATTCCTGAAGCAATCCATGATTGATGTGACTGATATAATTTATCCTGAGAACAAAGAGAAGTTCAAGTTCGAAGGCCTCAGTTTTTCAAGTGGTACTCTCTGGCGCTCGATGATAGCACAAACATCAGGGACACAGCTCAGCTACTCGTTTTCATAAGAGGTATAAATGACACGTTTGAAATCACTGAAGAATTGCTGTCCGTGGAATCTCTGAAGGAAAACAACAACGGGAAAATATTTGTTTGAAAGAGTGGAGAGCTGCATCGAAAGACCTTGGAAAAAGTTGGCTAGTGTCACAACAGACACGTCTTCCAATTTGACCAGTAAAAACGTTGGACTTTTTAAGAGAATTGAAGATGAAGTCAAAGAGATGAATCCAGATTAGGAAGTCATAATTCTTCACTGCATCATCCACCAGGGGCCTATTCCACAGAAGATTTACAAGCAACAAATTACAAGTGAAGAGACTGTATTTACAAGTATTTGTATTTTCTGTTCCACAGAGTTTGCGCTAGTGCTTGTAAATCGATAAGTGCAAGGCACTGGAGCCTGCTCATATTGCAAGTTCTGAGTGCGTTCCAGAGTTCTCTTTCGAGCATAGGCGCCGAACCCAGGGGGGCAAAGGGGCACGTGCCCCCCCAATTATATTATTGAGGGGGCAACGCCCCCCCAAGAATGGCAAAATTTCAACAAAGGCACATGGAAAATTGAAAACAAAATGCTGCTTCACGAAAGAAATGAAAAGTATGATTTTGCTCGTCACTATGCTACCATAATAATACTGAACTACCCCAATGGATCCTGGAATAACTGCGTCATTGTTATTTCAGGGGCAATAGGAACTTGCCCCCCCCCCCCCCAATACTTTTTAAAAGTCGGTGCCTATGCTATCGAGTACACTCGTGGAATGACACCAAAAGAGGTTTCATCAATGAAAGCGTATGGATATCTCATATAACGAGAAGCTGGATATGCAGAATCGAATATGCCATCTCTTGGCCTGAAAGTCAGTCTATGTATTCCAGATATGGTGCAATCGAATATGCCCAACTAAGTGGGGAAGCTGTTAGAGTCCATTGGTAGTGCACCAGAGTCTACTCTTATATTCAAGGTTAATTCTATCAAACGGCGCCAAGAAAAGTTGCTGTGATCCTTCTTTAGCTGGCAATACTTGTAGTCAGGTATTTCATTTCCCCAGAGCGCTGGATTTTATTCTTTCAAGTTTTTTTTTTTCAACGTAAGCACATAAGCCCAACTCTACTGTATTGTACCACATTAAAACTATGCCTATATTATCCTATGCAATGGTCACAACAGGAAAATACATAGTCTCTGCTAAACACAGGAGTGCAGAAAATACATTTACCAAGCATCAAAGTCTTGTAGAAATTAGAGCTACAAGTACAAGTCTATAATAGACTTGTACTTGTAAAACATCTGGCTCCGTGGAACAGAATCCATTTTCCCAAACTCAATTCCCTTGTAAATGGATGAACTTGTACTTTTAAATCTTCATTGTACAATTTTCTTCCGTGGAACAAAAAGTTGCTTCTACAAGTAATAGACTTGTAACTTGTAGCTTGTAAATCTTCTGTGGAATGGGCCCCAGGAGGTGCTTTGTAAAAGTGTTCTGAATTTGAAGCATGTGGTTAACCCAGTCATTAAGCTTGTCAATTTCATTCGAGCGAGGGGGTTAAATCACCGGCAATTCATTGCCCATTGTTGCGGAGCACACCGATATTGAGTATCACACCAATGTCGTTGGCTTAGTTTAGGAAAAGTGTTAAAGAGAGCGTGGGAGTTGAAGGAAGAAATCATATTCTTGGAAATGAACGTAAAGATGAAGATTTCCCAGTGTTCAAAGACGCATGTTGGCTCTCTGACTTTGCCCTTGCCGTGGACGTTATGGAACATTTAAACGACTTGAATCTGAAACGGCAGGGCAAGGGAGTGTTTGTGCAGGAACTGTACTCAACGGTAAAAGCATTTCAAGCCCAGCTACTCCTGTTTTCGAGGCAGGTGAAGGACAGCATGTTTTCGCACTTCCCAACTTTGCAGAGGATCGCTGTTTCCTCCAATATAAGTGACAAGTACAGCAAGATGTTGAGTGATTTACGTAAAGAGTTTTACCGTCGGTTTTTTTACTTTAAGAAAATCGAGAAGGAGCTTGAGCTGCTGTCTTATCCATTTACCTTTGACTATGAGAAAGCTCCAAATGAATTTCAACTGGAACTGATCGACTTACAGTGCGATTTACCTCTCAAGGAAAAGTTCAACTTTAACATCCTAGGCAAGTTTTACTCATCACTGACACAAAATTCTCTAACTTGCGAGAACTTGCCAAGAAAATACTGGTGCTCTTCGGTTCCACTTATGCTTGTGAGAAAACTTTCTCATTGATGAACAGCAACAAATCAAAGTTGAGGGCACAAATATGACTCGCCCACATTTGAGTGCAGTGCTGTGAATCTCAGAAATGGCACCTGACTTCGGAAATCTCATTAAAAACTGTGGGCAGCTGCACATGTCCCACTGAGAAGTTGGTAAACCTAAATTATTTTTTTTTTCCTTTTCGTCCGGGAGGAAGGCATCCTATGGACTACTATACTTCCGGATATTTTCCCTGGACATGTCATCCTTTCTCGCCTTCAAGTTTTCGTCCGACTGCTGTGTCCTCTTTTTGGCTTAATTTTTTTTTTTTTTTCTTTTTTTTTTTTTTTTTTTTTTTTTTTTACTCTGTGGCCCGCGAGGCTTTGGTTTTTTGTCATGTGGCCCGCATGCTAAAATGTTTGTCCACCCCTGGTATATAGTATGAAAATCGGCTTTGAAGCTTTCCATAGGGTAGTAAGAATGAGGCCTTTCCAAGTGAGAGAGATAGACAGAACCAAGCCTAATTATATTAGTCTTGAGACGCACAGGAAGCAGTTTGTCCTGGATGATTAAGAGGGGGTCGGCTGGAGGGGTCTTCGAGAAGTTGAACTGCATAGTTAGGCACTTGTCGGGATTGAGTCTCATGGACTTTTTAATGGACAACTCTTGCATAGGGTTACCATATTTCGAACGGCCAAAAAGAGGACACAGCAGTCGGACGAAAACTTGAAGGCGAGAAAGGATGACATGTCCAGGGAAAATATCCGGAAGTATAGTAGTCCATAGGATGCCTTCCTCCCGGACGAAAAGCGAAAAAAAAGGCATGTTCGGGAAAAACCGGACGTATGGTAACTGCCTACTCTTGCAGTTCATCAAGGGCATGCTGGAGTGGAAGGGCAGAGGATTTAGGGTGAGACACTGCTATGGTCTTGTCGTCGACGAATTTGTAAATCATCACACCGTTTTCGGGGTCATCATGTACTATAGCGTTGAAAAGAAATGGACCCAAAACAGTGCCTTGGGAAACGCCGCATGTGATTTACAAGGTGCTAGAGAGGGCATCACCGATCCTTGTACATTGTTTTCTTCCCGTGAGAAACGAGGTGAGTCATGAAATCCACGCGGGATGAGCGCCAAGAAGTCATAGCTTCTGGATTAGGCAAGTATATGGCTGATACGGTCGAACTCTTTGCTGTAATCGACGAATACCGCTGTTACAGCTTGTCCCTTGTCGACATTCCGATGGATAAAGTGGAGAAAGTTGACGAGGTAATGCGTTGTTAAGGTGTCTTTTTGGTTGCCATATTGATTATGAAGCAGTCGTTCTCCGATCAGCTGCGACCAACGGGTTTGAAGGGGGTTGCCAAGAATGGCTTACAGCCAGTGTTCCATGCTCTTTACAATATGTGGGGAGATGTGTATCGCAAGGTAAGGGAGCTATTTCGAAGGGGAGCATACTGAAATCTAACTTGCGAACCTAGTTTTCACGTACAAAGGCCAGTCCTGGAACTTTTTGATGGGTCCTCGTATATATCAGTTAGTGGGATGGATATTTCCCGAGCGAACTCTATAAGTAATCGAGTAGGGATATCGCCAGAGCCTGACGATTTGATTTTCAGCGAGCGCAGGTGGTTAGAGACTTCTACCTCGCTGACCCTATCTAAGCTCAGGAGCAGGGAGGTACGCGGGTAAGGCGTGCGTGTCAAGGGGTGGAAGAGAAGTTACAATTGTTGCCAGATGCTGGTTGATTATACTGGGTTGCCAAAAAAAAAAGCGTCTTGTTTGACGCTTTATAAAATCAGCTCTGATGATCTGGGTTCATGATGTTTTCGTATCACAAAGGAAACATCATAAAATTTGTTTTTCGAAAGTTTCATATATCTAGGTTGTCTGAATGAAAATTGGCAGTCGTTCAAAGTGGAGTCATAAAATGTACCCTTTCTGCGCAGGAGGTGGATGGAGTTTCAGGACTGCTTGAATGATTTCTCTCTATTGACACCATAAATGCTGCTTTTATGTCAGTTCTCATCGTAGTATTCTCCGTAGATTCGATTCTGATGCTACGATGTACGACAGAACTATTCCACGACGTGTAAAATGCTACAAGGACATGGTGTAAAAAGCAGTCCTTATGGCATCAAGTGAGAGAAATCATTCAAGCAGTGCTGAAACTCCATCCACCTCATGTGCGGAAAGGGTACATTTTATGGGGAAAGATCGACGTTGTGCGATGATCCGTGTGGTTATCCGACGATTGCCCGTGATGATATCGTGCTCAGCTTTAACGTTTTCCCATGTTGTGGGTGAGACAAGACGTCCACTGCGGGGTTCGTCTTCCAAGCACTCTCTTCCGCTTTTGAAACTTGCTACCCACTTTTTCACAATCGAATAACTCGGTGCTTCATTTCGCAACGTCTGCTGCATATCCGCGTGAAAGTCCTTCGTACTTAAGCCTTTCTGAAAAAAAGGTATCGAATCACGGCCCGGTGCTCAAATTTATCCACGTCGACTGACGGCTACGCACTTGAATTGATTTGTTGAAAAAGACACGGTCTCCCACAAGTTAGGTTGAGCTGAAACACCTAAGTTGAAAATCTGACATTAACTCAATCATCAGGAGTATGACTTGGCCTATCTAAAAATTAATCCAGATTTTGAAACAGGAAATAAGAGAACCACCACAAATACTGACAACATTCATCATCTGAGCGATATAAACGGAATTGGAGTTAACATTTAACACATTCCTATTTGGCTTCACTTTGGGATATCATTGGGAGGTTGCAAATATGACAAAACAATGGAAGGCTTAGGCTGTAGCCAATGTGGCGTCGGCTGTGTCAAGGTCCATAACTGCAGTAATAAAAGCCATCTGGACTTAAAATGACAAGATAATGACAAGGTTGCATTGAAAAAACTTTACCACCCCTTCAAGTGCCCCGAGATACTAGAGTGCATGCAGCTCAGAATTCATTGAGTGCAGTATGGCAAGTGACAAGAAGTAATAATGCAGCATATAAGGCTTCATTCCTATAGATCTTTCCAGCAATAATAAATAATCATACCACAGTGTATGCTCACAGAGATTGCAAAAAGAAATAATTGCACAGGATCCAAACCACTTGGAAACTACAAACTTATAAGGATAAACTACACTCCAAAAGCAATAGAAAGCACATAAGAGATGCAGCTTGAACAAATTTGAACAGCTTCCAAGAACTGAGACTAGTCCAGCATACATGGGAAAATGTATCACCTAGGGAGAAGTGGGACTGCAGTAAACAACAGTTCAAAAAGTATGAAATGGGAGAAACTAAATTTATTTTGGTGCATCTAATGGGAATGAGATTCTCATTAAATCAGCTAACTTTACACCATGATGACAGTTCAAAGATCCAACAACCAGGAAGAGATTCACCAGTCTTGTTCCAAGTGCTGAAAATTCAGGAAGTACACCAAATTCTTAGAAATACTTCTTGATGAAGTTGATCAAACCATTTGTTGATGAATCATGAGAATCAACTGGATTGCGATCATTGAGCTCTGGTTCAATTGCTTTTGCCAACTGCTTTCCCAGCTCAACACCCCATTGATCAAATGAATTTATGTCCCAGATGACCCCTTGTGTAAAAATCTTGTGTTCATACAAGGCTATCAATGATCCAAGAGTGAAAGGTGTCAGCTTCTTGACCATGATGGAATTAGTGGGTCGATTCCCCAAGAAGACCTTGTGAGGGAGGATCTTCACCAATTTCTCACCACTCAACCCAGCTGTTTCCAATTCCTTGCGTGCTTCATCGGCAGTCTTTCCTTTCATTAAAGCTTCGGTCTGAGCCAAGAAATTGGCTAATAAGATCTTGTGATGAAGATTCTCTCTCAGTGGATTATGAGATTCCACAGGAGCAATGAAGTCAGCTGGAATGAGGCGAGTGCCCTGATGGATCAGTTGATAGAATGCATGCTGTCCGTTAGTACCTGGTTCTCCCCAAACAATGGGACCAGTTGCATAGTCAACTTGGGATCCAGATTTAGTTACATATTTTCCATTGGATTCCATGTCACCTTGTTGGAAGTATGCTGCAAATCGATGCAAATATTGATCATAAGGGAGCAGGGCATGGCTCTCTGCTCCAAAGAAGTTATGGTACCAAATGCCAAGCAGAGCTAGAAGTATAGGGGCATTTTCTTCCAAAGGAGCAGACTTAAAATGTTCATCCATGAAATGTGCACCATCAAGAAGTTTTGCAAAGTTATCAAATCCAATGTTCAGGGCAATGGAGAGGCCAATGGCAGACCAAAGAGAGTAGCGGCCACCAACCCAATCCCAGAACTCAAACATATTTTTCTCATCAATACCAAAGTCCTTCACCTTTGGACCATTTGTAGAGAGAGCAACAAAATGCTTTGCCACATGACTGGCATCACCAGCAGAATTCAGGAACCACTTCTTTGCAGATGTTGCATTTGTGATAGTCTCCTGTGTGGTGAAGGTCTTGGATGCAATAATGAACAGAGTTGTGTCAGGATGGAGCTTCTTCAGTGTCTCCACAAGATGTGTCCCATCAATGTTAGAAACAAAGTGGACTCGGGGCCCAATGGCAAAATGCTTCAAGGCTTCAGTAACCATCAATGGACCAAGATCAGATCCTCCAATCCCAATGTTGACAACATCTGTCACTTTTTTCCCAGTATATCCCTTCCATTGCCCATTAATGACATCATCACAAAAGCTTTTCATGTGGCTGAGGACTCCATTGACATGTGGCATGACATCAGATCCATCAACATTGATAGATTTGTTGCTTCGATTTCGCAAGGCTATGTGGAGCACAGCCCGATCTTCAGTGAAATTGATCCTTTCACCTGAAAACATAGCATCCCTAGCTGCTTCCACCTTTCTTTCCTTTGCAAGTTGAAGGAGAAGGTCCAGTGCCTCCTTGTTGATACGATTCTTGGAATAATCCAACAATATTGGCCCATCCTCAGGTGTGTTCAGTTGAAGATTGAAGTGATTGAACCGTTTTGAATCAGAGTTGAACATTTCCAACATGTTCAAGGTTTTTCCCTTGGTCTCATAAAACTCAGTGAGTTTTTTCCAAGCTTCTTCTGACTTTAAAGGTTTCTTTGGATCCATTCTTTTCAAATACCTCTGGTGGTAAATACCAACAATTCTTATACCTAGAAAAGTCAATAAAAACACATGAATGACCAGATGTTGAGTCAGAGCAATCAGTACTGGCAAATGATAGATCTTGTACCTCTCAATATCAAGATTAGAAAATGAGGAGCTAAACATGGGGGGGGGGGGGGGGGGGGGGGGGGGTGGAAGTCTTTGATATAAGCCTAAAAATTATAGTTATTTATACAGATTCTCCACAAGGCAAAGGATGCACATAGAGTGCAAGACAGTCAAATACATGTAATTAAACACCTGCTGCTCTTAGTACATAGAATCTTTAATCCTGTACAAGGAGCAGATGACATTTTCACAGAGGGGAAGCAATATGTATGCTATGTCCTCATCCGCGTTCAGACCAATTTGATTTTGTTCCAATCAACAATAACCTTACTCGGGAAAGGCTATTCTGCATATTCACCTTTTGATGAAGAGAAATTTCCCAAATTTTATTTTTCTTTGACAAAGTCAATAAACTCCATTCTAGATTTTCTTCCTACTTTCAAGGTCCACTCTTGATATTAAACCCTTGGCTGTTTCAATTCTGGTTCAATTTCATCCCTATATTGTTTTTAATGCCATGTCTCTATCAGTGTACTGTACCACTAGACAAGCACCTATCACATCCCATATGGAAGATCACATATGAAAGTTACATGCAATTATCTGTGTCTTATAAATTCACATATTTTTTATTTGTTGAAATATGAATACACATATATAAGGGCATGTATGGTTGAAGCATATGATCCATATAAGGATTATTCATATATTAAAAACATACCTAGGCATAGGGATGGGGTGGTCAAGTGACCACCTTTTAATTGACCATTATTGACCACAAATTTTTTTAATTCAGTGAATTAATATATTTTTAGAGCTCATAACTGTGGTCTTTTATCCCCCAGCACTAAAACCAAAGAGACAGTTCAATTTTTAAGATTTGTTCATGCAGCCTGCCAAACACCTAGACTGTGGCACCTGTTGCATATGAAAACATTTAGCAAATGCTCAAACTACCATGACCTTTCACCTGAGTGATGCAGAGTGTGTGTGCAGG